CTCGATAGGTGGTTTAGGTTGCGCTGTCTTCTCGTAAACGTTACCAAAGGACTAATGAAACGTTAAATTGGTTTATTTCGCGTGCCGGGGAATCCGCGGGAGTTTAATTCTCTTCAATTATCGTAAAGTGCTCGACGCCGAGCAAAGCGGCCGTTATTTTAATACGCCGCGCCGTGTCGCCGCGCGACCTCTCGCTGCCCGGTTGCCCGGCAGGCCGCGCTGCCTGTGTCTAACTTTAATTAATTTGTCTCGTTTGCGCGATAAACGGAAATGGAGATTCGCGACCGCATTGTCCGGCCGCGTAACGCCGCCTATCCTCTTTTCCGTTTCCCGCCGCCTTTTGTTCCCAACGCGCCGCAAAGAATTTCGGAATTACATTTCCCTCGGCACCGGCGCCGCGCGTCCCGCCGAAAACCGTGCTTTCACCTCCGCGCCGACCCTATGTTTTCGTTGATTTTCGATGCGACCGTTCCTCTCTGCCGAGAACAATATGCGCGCGCGTGGCCGCACGCCGTCGAAACTTTTCATCGGGGCAGCTCCCCTTTCCATTGACTCTGGATGGCGTTTCGCGAAATTTAACAACAATAACGCGAACCCGGCACGGTTTAACACGGTTCCGGGCGCCGGTTCGCAGTAACCGGATACACACGCGGCGTGTCTCACTTAAACCGAGCGTATTAATCATTTCGATTGTCCTCGAAGACACAAAAACGCTTCGAACTGGCGTTCAGAGTTGATCAAAGAGAGAAATACGGATAACGACGCGTCGACGGCACTGGAATTGTGTTCCTCGGTTACTCCTTCGATGCGTCATTGTCTCATTATTCACCCCGTACATTTTTCCTCGACATCGATCATCCTATTCTAATTTCCCTCTAACAATTCAGAAAGCGGCAGTCGTGTACCGCAGCAGTCGCCGCGTCAAGATACTCTAATTCAAACGCGACCGTACACGCTCTCGCATTACCGATGTAAATTGCCGGTACGCGTAAGTACTTTCCCGAATGAACGCAAACAATGACTGCTGCCGCTTGTAACAATAACCCTGTAGATAATGCAGCAGCCCCATGAAAATTTCAACCTTCGAGCCAACACCCCGTCGCAATGGGAAAGCCGGAGCAGTTGTCGGCGAATTTAATTTCTCGAGAATTTGAATAACGCGTACGTCGTCGACGGACTGGTTTTTCCTTGGCCCGACAACCTCCGCCGCCGCCGTCGCCGCTGCGCCTCCTCAAATGCCGGCTTCGCAAAAACCTTGGACGGAGGCGAACAGGCGGGCTAGCTTCGTTAACGCGCGAGCTGCCTTACGACTTTTAGTCGTTAAACGTGTTACTATCCGTGACGCTTGGCAACACTTTGTCTCTCTCTCTCTCATTCTCTCTCCTTTCTTCATCCTGCTAGCTACTACACCCCCGCTGTTTCTCGTACCATCCATTTTCTTTTCGCGGAAGTTAGTACGCGGGATACACGCGCTCGCGCGGGGAGGAAGTACATTGCCCCTCGTCGTGTACTTTTTGCGATACATTAAGCCGTATATTTTATGGGATATACGTAGCTCGAGCGCGGTGCCGTATGGCGGCGGCATACGCCTTCTAACGGTATTGACGGGGGCGGCGAGGGTCGCGGGAAGCGAGGAGTCGAGGGCGGGCTGCCGCGAAGACACGCGAATAACGTTAAGGGAGCGAGCGAGTGACTGATGCGACTAGAGGGGAATGCTTTCCGCTTCGAGCTTGTCATTCTGCCCACCCCTCGGGCCCTTATTCCCATCCCCCAGTCTTCGCCGACGCATATACCTGGGTCACGATTCCATGCCGACGCATCTGTTGCGACGCAGGAACGCCGTGGCCACGTAATGCCGGAGCAGGATGTTAACGACACTTTGAACGCGTTGTCGCGGGATTTTTGGCTTGTTCTTTGACCACCACGATATTGGGCGGTTTCGGTAGTTAGTATAGATGTTGCTAGTGTTGTTTAGTAAATCGGACGTTTCTGTTTCGTCAGATGTTCCGAGATGCAACCGTGTGAGCCCTGGATTTCAAGGTTTTCGTAGTTAATACTTAGCAGGTTGCTGTAAGTTAAAAACGTTTCAAATCTGTACCGTTTAAAGCAAGTAAGGTTGAAAATCTGTTAGAAGAAAGAATAGAATTCATTATTCTAGGATGATAAATTGCATAAATCGTCTCGGATGTGTCAGTTTTGTCAATTAATTTCGTTTCACGGGTTACAGATTCATACTTCGTGAACATCCTCTTTCTTTCGATGTTCTCGCGATTCTAGGAGGATTTTTATTACTCCCACTCATCGAACATATGGGGTTGGAGGTCCGCTGACGGTATAAGATCGAATTTCCGGGAAGAGTGCCGCTTTTGGCAAGGTTCCCCTCGCGAGAATCCTCGATAAGATGGCTGCGAACGCGGCGTAGACGACGACGGACCCGAGACGCGGCGACACGGCGACGAGCACGCACGCGATATCCCCGTTTATACGTGCGATGCATACGGCAGCAGTTGCTCGGGCGGTAAGATCGACGAACGTGCGACTACTATGCTATAGTCGGGCACACGTGGCGGTCTGCACCGGGTACACAGGTGAAACCCGGTTCAGCCGCGTGTATGAGTTCGGGTCGCATGTGTGCGACGGCTCGAAGAAAAGCGGCGACTGGCTCCGTTTAAGAGAGAACGTTCGATTGAACCCTTTTGTTTTCTATTTTTCGATCAGCCGAGGGTCTGCGATATTGGTAAGGATTTTATTTGATGGTTCCCTCGAGGACAGACCTTTCCATGCGATGCAATAAACGATGCAAAACTAGATAACGCTCGGATATGCGTCGGGTGAAAGGTAATACCGAATAAAAAACACGCGCCGGTAAACGTATCTTATAATCCTTTTATCGCGTGCATTCGTAATCTCCAAAATTCAGCAGCACCGAGTGGTACAAACGACATAAAGTACCGTGACAAACGCGTGCTCTAGTTTTATCACTGCAGCGACTCGGCTCTTCAAATTTTTGCCCGCTATGAACATTTCAAGGCAGATCTGAGTTAAGTCTGATTTAGCGATAAACTCGGCTGGCAAAAAGGAACTGCGACGATAGAGTCTACAATCGGGAAAAACCGTTAACTCATTCCGTCCGGCGAGCAATTTCTCTTGGAAAAAGTTCCCCTTTTATCGACGACATCTTCAAAGAATAATGTAATTAAGTTTCTCAGAAACATCGTTGAATTATCTAAGAAATATACATGCTCGCACGGGTGCAACGTTAACATATCCGTTAAAGGAAGTACCGCTAGTAAACCGTTTCATTCGGGAGATCCCCGTGAAACAAGCACGCCGGGGCGAAACGGGTTGAACTGCACATTTGCCCGGAACGCTCAGCATCGGATCGTTCCGTCGGCGAACGGTTAATCGGTGCAAGGTTGTCTTTCAATGTCTGGCTCCGTGGGCGTCGGGAATCGGTCCGTCGAGCCGTCGTCGCCGGCGAGTGCGCGGGTCATAACGAATTTTATGGGGAACTCTGTACTCGGAATACGCGCGGATGTATGCATAACGCATGCACGTACACGTAACCGGGTGTACGATACAGGCGAACGATACCGGCGGTGTATGCAGCCGGCTTTCCTGCATCTAATGTACACTTTTCACGTCGCGGCAAACTGCGCCGGCCGCCGTAAAGATAGTCGGGCAAGTGCACGCCGGTATTACGTGACGTGCCGCTCGATAATGATACCGCCATTGCGATAAAAACAAAGTGAACGTTCTACATACACGTACTTACACGCACGCGCACGTACACCGGTGGCGTGAGCAGTGTGGGAGCACAGCGCGGCGAGCTAGCCGCCACGGAAAAATAATGATAATAGGTTACATCGTGCGTTAGCGAAACAACTTTCGCTATATAGAAAACCGTGCCCGTCCGCGCCGCTCGTTCGTTTGCGCCGTTATCGCGAATTATATTTCGCGAATCGCGACTCCTCATTAACGTCCAGATCTGTCGCCGGCATTTTATTTTTTCATTCTGCGCGGTGAAACACACTCGCGACGCGGTACGGCGCGGCGTAGCGCGCGGAGCAAGAATTCAGCCGGGCGCTCTCGTCTCCGGCTTCCTCGCTCTTTTTTCTGCCCCCCATTGTTTCGTTTCTCCATGCAGCACGCGTTCTCGAGTGCGCCCGATGAAACGGCGCTCGAATTTACCGGGAGTTCGTTCGTGCTTTCGCGGTCGATCGGAAGATCGTTTCATCGGGTTCGTTAAACCTGGGCTGCGTGGGGTCGATCAGGAACGCGTCGGTCACGCGTCGCGTGCCGGTACACGCGGCGAATAACGCCGGGGACCGTTTGCCGGTATCAGAGGAACGGGTGTTCGAGGCGGATTTTATCGGTTCCCGATCGATCCGCGGACGTCGCTCACGGATCGGGACTGAAACGGAGTTAGTTGGCAGGATCTTCGAACGGTTTTTCGGTGGGAAGCGTCGATGATATCGATCCTCGCGCGCGGCCAGACACGCGGTGCTCGTTCCGCGAGCAGACCAGGTGCGCCTCTCGGCAAACGAGATGAATGTGCTGGATGTTCCCGTATCGCGTGACCACTCGATCAACGCTGCCGCGGGTTGACAGTGACTTACGCACTCTGGCACTCGACGAGATATGACACGCGCCACCGGGCTTCACCCTATTGTTACCTAGCCCACCCGCCGCCCACCCATCGCCATCGTTCCCTTCTACTTCCACCCCCGTGTACCCTGGCCAAACATCTTCGATCTATCCGGCCATCCATATTTTTCTACCCCTCGACCTTTACGCAGTCTCGCGTATCCACTTTAGCCCCGGGACCTCTTTCACTCCTTATAACCGTGCCTTTAATCTTCGTTAATAGACTTTATCTCACGGTGATTTACGCGGTTATTCGCGACTCTTCGAGGAGCCCGGCCGTAGCACACCCTCGAGGAACACTGGGAACAAGGAAGATAATTGGAGGAGGGTGAACGGAGGGCTGATTTACTTACCGGTGTCCAAAACCGTGTAGCGCGGGTTCGCAGTATCGATAGGCAGCATGTCTCGTACCCAGGATATAATGGGGGTCGGCGAACCGAACGCCGTGCAGAGGAGGACCGCGTTGTGACCGGTTTCTACCACCTTGGTTATCGGCGCTTGGGATATCAGTGGGAATCCGTTTGGTAGTTTGTCTCCTGTAACAGAAAGATCAATGCTCGTATTACTGATTAGTCCACAACGGTTGGAACACCGGAATGCTGAGAGGCTCGATGAAAACAAAATTCATACAGGTGAACGCATTAAAAATTGCAATAAGCAATACCCTAAGTCAAACTTCCACGAAGATACTAATCACCAGAAATTTACCAGTTTATGAAACATCAGTGCGCAATCCAGCACAACGCCCGTTCCACTTATAGAAATAATCTGCACCGCCTTAACACTAGAACTACCGAGCATTTAATACGATTAATATGCTAGTCCTGTAAAAATTGTAACAATAGATTACTTTCAGTTTCTTCAGGCATTCATTATAGTACTCAAATGAAACTATTCTTTTTCAAAATAATTTTGAATATTCAATTGCTTAACAAAAAAATCGAAACCAGTCATTTTGATGACTGGTACGGTAGTTCTAGTGTTAACCCTTCACGAGGGTTCTTCGCAATATACAAAACTTCGAACAGATGAAGCTAAATTATATATCAATCGCTTAAATAATTAAAAAACAGAAACTACGCGGTGATCTCTCGCTGTCCAAGTAATTGAATCATCCGTTCGTGACTCAGTCTCGGAAACACGAAAATTTCATCTGGCCGGAACGTCGACATCCGACCGCAAAGGGTTGACAGCACTTAAACCAAAAACAATTAAAAATCACTCAGGGTTTCGACAAATCCCCGACCGCTCGAACGATTCGGCCGGGTTATTCGGGAGCGCGAGGTATGCGGCGTTCGAGGGTCCGGTCGCATGGAAATCGGAGTCCCGATTCGTCGATTACAGGTGATATCTCGGCGCGGCATAGGGGCGCGTCGGGTTTGAAAGTAGCGAGCGGCGCGTGGTTCGCATGGAATCGAGGCCAGGGGTCCGTAGCGCGGACATACCGCGGTCAGTCCCGCGGGATCGAAAGTTAGGAAAAGCCATTGGAACTGGCGAGGATATCCCATTCCCGTTCCCATCTCCCCGGACGAGAAACAGAGGCTCGGCCATCCGGGAAGACGGTTCGCTGATACTGGTAGATGCGACCGGATATACCGGTGTCCGAGCGCTCGAGAATGGAATCAGAATTCAATATACCGGAAAAAGTTCGTAAA